AACATCGGAGTCACACTCAGGACCGATGAGAACAGGTCAAATAAACCTAATAGCGAATTTGTTAATTATTCAGTTTCACCCAGCATCTGGTATCAAGATCGGCTCTGTTTTCTGACAAACGTCAGTTTGATCGTTTGCTTTTAAAACCTTCCTCAGGTTGAGGTTAGCACTGACAAAAATTTCGGTTTCACGATAATAAACAAATTCGCTATAAGAGGAAGAGGAGACCAGAAACGACTATACTGCCTATAATCCCATATCAGTCCCATATGAAAAAAGTAGGCATTGAGAAAATGGCAGTCAAAGTTACGAAGTGCAATTTCCATGCAAATATTTGATAAATAATAGTAAATTAATTGATAATTTTTTCAAGTTAAAATATGTTGCAATGAAGCTTGCATCAAATATATTATATTAACAATATGATCCACTCTTTCGCTTAGCTGGCGAACCGATTTTTTAGCGATGAAAGCACCTCTGTGGCCAAAAAGGCTACCAATGTATTTGTTTATCGTCACGAGGGGTACACCAAATGAAAATTTGTTTAATATTTCAAACGAATGTATTTCAGCATTTTATTTTTTTGATGACAACAGTGACATGTCAGATAAATTTTAAATCAATATACACAATGTAATTTTATTACACACAATGATACACAATGAAAATAATTTAACTCTTACTTTTGTAATAAGTGCTATATTCGCACCCCTCGATTGTAATTGAATGATTGTTGCTGACCTTTTTCAACGCTAGATGGTGCGTGAAGCAATATTTTGCGGGTCGCCATTGCAACATTTGGAAAAGGCATGAATGGATCATATTATTAATGTGATATATTTGCTTGCATGTTTTGTTATATCAGCGAAAAATATGGCAATTCAAAAAGCAGATCTTTAACTTGAACTTTGGGCGATTGAATTTCAGGATGGGACTGATATGCGATTATTTTGCTTGATGTGACAAACTGACCTGATGTTGTTTTCACATTTTTCATGATCAAAGTCCATAGTTTTATCACATAATATGAAAGCAGATGCCAATTGATAGTGGATAGCGTTGTTATCTCAAAATTGACGAAAATCCATATGGTATCAAAAACCGATTTGAATACATTTTGAGTATAGGCCCTTTTCAAATGTTACGCGAGATATGTCTAGTTTTTTTTTTATTTTTCTCGATGCAGATCAGAGTTACTCTGAGTAACCTGGGGCCTCCCTCAGCTAAGTCGGTAAAGGTGCAGCTATAAGGCAAGACCATACTGGGGGTGGCTGGGTTCAATTCCCGGTCCGGTCTAGGAATTTTTCGGGTTGGACAATTTCTCGACTTCCCTGGGCATAGAAGTATGATTGGACTTGCCACACAATTATACCAATGCAAAAATTGCATAGGCATCGAAAGCTCTCAATTAATAACTGTGAAAGTGCATCTAGAGCACTAAGTTGAGAGCACGCAATAAGCTAATATGCGATATGCAATAAGCTTGAAATACGAAGAAGAAGAAGAAGAAGAAGAAGAAGAAGAAGAAGAAGAAGAAGAAGAAGAAGAAGAAGAAGAGTAACTCTAAGCTAAAGACACTCGCATTAAAGCCGTCCTCCCCCTTGAATTTCTCCTACCTGGTCATTTTGATGGTTTGCGTTGGCGGACTTCTGTTTGCGACAAAATGGCCTTACAAGGTTTGGTTACAAAATGGTGTTGAGGCCTATTAAATTGTTGGTCTTGGATTCTTCTTAAATATTCCGCCAAACGTTATTCAGCCAAAAGGACATTCGGCCATGGACACCCTATGATTTTTTTTTTGAATTCTTGTTTTTTTCTTTCGTCAGTATCTGTTCAGCAAGCGAGTACCAATCACCAACGCCAGAGCGGTGACTCAACACCTGGATCCTAAATATCGATTTCATCAACAAAAGGGCCGGGTCAACGGCTTCCCGAGCAAAGTTAGAGATCAAATTGAAATCAGAATTTGCTGTTATGATGTAACTTATTTTGAATACTCCATTTGATCTCATTTTGGTTGACTTAACGGTTAACATAGCAAAAATGAGAGCAAAATTTTACACTGTTGAATCAACAGAAAACTAATTCTGCTTTCAATGAAATCAATTTGATTACTGATTTTGCATTCATAATGTTTGACTGAATACGGGCCTGTCGTAAATGGTTAGCATCCATGCTTCTCACGCTGAAAGATTTGAGCTCAAATGTCACCTCGGGCTAATCACGAATGACCTAAAATGTGTCAAACAAAACAAATAAACAATAATCGTTCGTTCAACGACAGATGAACTTAAATCAAATTTTAAACAAGAAATTAACAGTAGAACTTCAAGTTAAGTTGCTTTGATTTAAAAAGTCTTGACTGCATAATGAAAGCACAATATGATATCAGACTTCTGTCGCGACAATTGAAATCAAAATGAGTTTTCATTATGATAGGAACTGCAAACTTTAATATCGTTTTGCTTTCATTTTGTTAACCGACTTTGCTCGGGTTTACTTCCCTTTCGAATGAAGACGTAATAAGAGATTTTTCGCCTCAGAAAAATCCCATCCTAAAGAGAAATTTGTGACATCGCGAGCGATAATTTTATATTTAATTTATTTACGCTGTGATGATGTTGGTTCACTCACAACTATTTTTGAAAAAAATTAAGTGTTTTCGAACGAAAGTGTACCAAAAGTGCTTCTGAACGTGTTTCGTAGTTGGGTGTGGTGAAATTCGTGCATTCCCGGTTGATTTTGGAAATCCGTATCACAAAACTGCCCACCGATTCCTTTTTTTGCCGTTCGACGACGACGGGTGTGCTTTCGCGAGCGTGACGTTTATTTGATCCATTTCTTTGCACGGGTGTGTTTTTTTTTTGTAACTAGCGTAAGTGTGCCTGCGATTGCATTGAGTGTCGGAGATTGTAAGTAATCTGAAGGATGCCTCGCTGGATAGGCCCAAGACTGGACGGGCAGTAGCTGGTGACCGTGAACGGTTCCTGGGGAAAGCACTAGATGCGACCCTCCTCCCAGATGACCATGGCAATACAGGAAGTATTGGTATTGGAAGGTAATTGCTATTAGATATTTTGCAAACAGTGACAGATAGCGGACATGAAGAGCCAGTGGAGGTGCCGGGCAAAGGTGTTTATCCTAGACAACTAGTAAGTTACAAATACGCTGATGTCGTTGTCGTAGGCGCCGTCGTAGTCGTTGTCGTAATCGCCGTCGTAGTCGTAGGCAGTACCGTTAGTATATTTAAAATTAACCACCAACCGCTGAAAATATGAATTATCGCGTATTTCTGTTGTTCATGACATGCCAAGTAAAATTCGAGAACGTAATTTCATTTGAATAGCTTGTTCAACTAGGTCTTAAACAATCGTCACGTCGGTCATAGCTTGTTATGATTACCTGAACCATGCGTAAAGAGAAAATCGAAACATTTAACGTCGCGTGAAAATGGATCTTAATAAAGGCCTCTTTCGTAGCTTCTAGTTTAAGGATTGCAAAGATCGTCGGTTGCAGTGGCTTGCTTACTGAGCAACTTTTCGTTGTCGTCGGTGCCGGGTCTGAATAGTCATAAAAAACTTGAGTAACGCTATAATGTGATATGAGGGGCTCGGTGGCCTTAGCACAACCGGTTTTGCTTACTGAGCAGAACATCATGAGTCTAATCTCAAGCCCATCCACATTCAAGATTCGTCAATCGTTTTATTTGTTAACATGACTACATGGTAATAACAGCAACTCGATGATTAAAAAGGAGCTCGTCTGCCTAGTGGCAAACGTTTTTGCTTACTGAGCAGAAGACCGTGGGTTCAATCCCAAGCTCCTTCGCGTTATATGATTGTTAGGACATCAATTCAGCTTATCGTTTACCAAAACGAACCCTGCTGCAAACCCAACCCTATTACCCCATATCCCAGTGATTCCTCGTGGAAGTGCAGAGGTGTTCTCGGCTTCCATCAAAGCGAGTGTCACGTCAACACATTCCTACCCCTTCCTTTCTTGACCTGTAGTCGGGCGCGGCCGGCGCTGGTATTGTCTAGTTTGAGATCACCAGTTTTTACACATTGAGGATGATTGCTAGTCCCAAGCATTGTCTATTGGTTCTCTGAGTAGCAACCATGGGCGGTCAAACATGCTCATGCTCATGCTCAGAAAAATCCCATCCTAAATCCAGGTAAGATTGAACCCATACCCATTGGGGTGAAAAAGCAGTTACGCGTACCATTCAACCACCAGTCACTTCAAATTATTGAATGGTTACGTGACTTTATGTATTGCGTGACAAGTGGTTGTTCGTATTAGTTTAAAATATGTCCGGATGAGATTAATGTGGGCTTAAGCTTATGAAATTTGTTAATAAATGAAATTTGTTAATAAATGAAAAAAAAATGTTCTAGCTACAATTTTGAATCTGATTTTTCTCTGGAGAATCCAGAACCCTCTTTGGTTTTATGAACGTTCTGTACTGCCGTTCTACGCATAACTGTCCCATGTTCTATGCAATCCTTATGCACCGTGGGACTCTTATGTGTATAACGGCAGTGTAGATTATGATTTAAACTTGTATAATGCTATAAAACCTCTATAAAGCTTTCAATGTTACTTGGGCTATCTGGTGTGAACAATGTTCCAATGTTCCAATGATTCTTTATCATTGCGCACAACATTTCGAGTTATAGAATCCAAATAATGCAACTCGGAACATTAAGTTGAGGAATTATCGACTTAGGTATAAAGAGTACGAAAAATGGAAAACTAAAAGACCGCAGAATGTGTTAAAAAGATTTGGACAGTATAAACATAAACACCTCTATGACATAGTCTCAGAGAAAATTGAATAATGCACTTCCTTGTTTATGCTACTTGATCGATAAACAATTGCATAAAATTATACATATAAACAAATGCGATGGAAACAGCACAGCTGATGTTTCTTTGCGGACCATCTGGTCAGCTCTCAAAGGGAAACAAAAAACGATTCAAAACTCATCCGCACTTACCTTCAAACTGATCAGAAGAGCATCCAATAATACTGTGATGGTATTGCCGAGGATGGCATGGCGCGATATTTGCGGACATAGAGAGCATGCATTTCGGAACAGCTGGACCGATATTACAACCGCCCTGGAACAAACAAACAGATTAGCATATTGATTGACACACCCATAAACAAAACAAGCATCTTCCGATGAACGTACCGCTTTGATACCTCGGAGTTGGGTTCCATTCCCATTTGAATCACTTCGGAGATCGTTTTCAACCCGTCCAGCAGCCACATGGATTGGAAGTCTACGACTTCTGCTTTTGCCATGAGTCTCAACAGCTGTCCAAGTGGTCGTTCCACACCCAAGGGACCACCACCTTTCACAATCGTATTCAGCAGTTTGGGCACTTGACTTTGCTTGCGAATTTGCGGAGCCAGCGGCTGTAGTTCTTCTGTGTATTCTTCTGCTGCCTGAGCCATTCGCTGGCGCAGTTTCTTCAATTTCTTCTTGTTTGCCTTAGCATTACCGCTGTCCTTGCCCTTATCACTAACACTGAGATTGTCGTCGTTTTCCTGTTTATTGGAGTTGGTTTCGTCACAATTTCTCGTCGGTATGGTCAGCTCAACCGCTCTTTGACGAATATCTTCGATGTGTTCTTCATGTCGTCGGGCGGACTCCTGCTGCTTCTGAATTATCTTCCGTTGCAGCTCTTCCGTGGTGGCTTGCTGCTGTGCCTGCAAAGCAAGAAGCCTTTCCTCCCTATCGCGGGCCTTTTCCCTAGCCAAAGCCTGACGTTGCCGCTCCTTTTGCTCCTGCATTTTCCCGACACGTTTTTCCCTCTCGCGACGATTTTCACTCATAATTTGCAGCTTCTTCTGGCGTTCCTGTTCGATTTCCTGTCTCCTACGTTCGACAGCAGCCTCTTTGGCGGCTTTCTCCTCCGCTCTCTTCTGCCTTTCAGTTTCCAAATCTTGCAAACGGCCTTCCTGTTCCTTGCATGATTCAATGAAATCCAGTCGCTTGTTTTGGGCTTCCAAATTTTTAATGAAAGCAATCTCTTTGAGCTTTTCCTCCTCGTCGTGAGCTTTTTTGATTTTATATTTCAGATATAGTGTCCGATTTTCGGCGGCCCGTTGTAGACGTTCTTCCATTCGCATACGCTTCTTCTCGATGAGCTGCTGCTTGGCGGTCTTGACATCTTCAACTCTGGCCAGCAAATGTTGAATTTTCAGGGCCTTCTCCTTCTGCAGCGCTTGACGCTTCTCCAGGGCCCGGGTCTGTTTGGCTTGGTACTTTTTCAACGTTTCGTGCAATGACCGTCGGCGAGAAGGACTAGACAGCTTAGCGTGCAACTGCTGGGCCCTTCCCGGATGGCGAGCAACCAGTGCCTGCAGGGTGGCCAGCGTTTGGGCACGCTCGACCCAGGTCATTTCTGGAATTGTAGGTAGAATTAGTCAACAAAATCAATTCGATAATAAGAATAACTCACCAGCTAGAACCGCTTCGTAACGCATCTCGAGTGTCATTTCTTCTTCGCCACCAGTACCGTTAACGTTGACGGTTTCTAAATTTTCGGCGCTGCTTTCGTTATCCTCCAGGTCTATGATGGCTTCACAATCGGTTTCGTCCGTTTCAGTATCGATGTCAATTTCTGCAAAAGGAATGCAATTTTGGGGAAAATTTACACGAGTCCTTGAATGTCACGTGATTGTAGCTCTCTCTCTCTATATATTCACTACAGGTAGGTACGATGCGTGCAACAACGTGTGTGGTTTACAACTGCCAAACATTTGTTTGATGTACCCACAATCAACAACACTGGACTAATGGCGATCGCGTAATCAATTTCGCTTTGTACCACGCGCAGTTTGCTCCAACAATGTGGATTGATCGCGAAAGTTAAATAACACCGCGCACGCCGTCAAAACATTGCCCACTGAGGCGAGACGGTTGGTAACAGAGGGAATGATGACGCTGGGGATTTTTGGTCGGTACGCAATTTCAAAATTTACGATTTGAAATATAAACGACCAACAAATTGACAGAGACGACTGATTATTGTTTTTTTTTTAAGCTGGATTTCGATCAACAGTGAATCAAATTCACTGTCCGCAAACGACATGGACAGTTAAGAAGGCAGTTAGCGATGGCCATGCAAATTAAAACGTAGAATGTTTGAATGATTGCCCATACAGGGGGTGAAAGAGGGGTTCTAAAATGGCCACGTGGTTTGCAAACAGTTGAATATCACTTGAACCACGATTAAATTTAAAGTATACTTTGAAACAATATTTGTGAATATCAATCTTTAATCTTTGAGTTATTGGTTGGTTGGTTGGTTGGTTGGTTGGTTTTCTTTATTAGGGAGACTTCCAACCAGAGGCTTTGAATGATCTATTCTGTCCGTTCAATATGACTCTTTATTCTTATTGTTGATATTTTTATTGCTTTTAACTCCGTTTTTAATTATTTGCGTTATTGATACTTTGCGGTTTTTCTTTATGTTTTCTTTTTATTTTGCGATATTTATTATTTGGGTCGTTTATTATTTCAACTCTTTTTTTTTGTCGATCGTGTATTCCGTGCTGAGCACTAATGCTACCGACGCCAGGGAGGCACCTACCCTACCTATCGACTCATCACAACTCATGAACCGGGGACCAACGCTTTACTTCTCTTCCGAAGGAAGGCGTGATCAGAGATGTTATGCCTCAGAACATCCCGGCGGCGCCGACTGGGGATTGAACCCAGGCCTGCTGGGGTGAACCCACCGAGCTGTTTTGGCTGTACCTTTCTCGTATACATCCTAGCGTGAAATCGGAATCAATCGAGAAGCTGGTCAAAGGTTGTGTAAAGGGTGTCCACGATGAAATTGCTCTAACTTTTTAACCGTTGGGTAGAATTTAATGAAAATTTGGGTGGATTTAGTTCATAGTGCATTATTTACATCCTGCAAGTTTTAAAGTCCTGTGATCAAAACTTGCGGAAATGGAGTCGAAAGAACAGCTCGTGCGTGATAAAATCTTGCGCATTCATCACGAGAACAAGGATCTCTCGCATCGTTCCATCGCTAAAACGTTGGAAATCGCGAATTCCACGGTGTCGCGAGTGATTAAGCGGTTCGAGGAACGGTTGACCACCGATCGGAAGCCCAGAAATGAAGGAAAAAGTATTCCGTACAACACCAAAAATCACAACCGCGTAGTTGGGGCCTTCAACCGAAATCCGAACACCTCCGTTAGGGATGTGGCTAAGAAGCTGCACCGAAGCCGAAGTTTTGTCAAGAAGGCCAAAACTAAGGCTGGGCTTCGAACGTTCAAGGTACAAAAGGCCCCTAATCGCGACGAGAAGCAGAACAAGTCCGCCAAAACCCGTGCCAGGAAGTTGTACCTCAACATGCTGACGAAAGTTGAATGCTGCATCATGGACGACGAAACATATGTGAAGGCCGACTTCAAACAGATCCCCGGCAACCTGTTTTTCACGGCCAAGGATAAGTTCAGCGTTCCGGAGCATGTCCGCACTCAGAAGATGTCCAAATTTGCGAAGAAATTCCTGGTTTGGCAAGCCATCTGCACGTGCGGGAAGCGGAGTGCACCTTTCGTGACCCAGGACACGATGAACGGACAGGTGTACATAAAAGAGTGCCTCCAGAAGCGGCTGCTTCCTCTCCTGAAGGCCCACAACGTCCCAACAATCTTCTGGCCGGATTTGGCCTCATGCCACTACTCCAAGGACGTGCTGAAGTGGTATGCGGACAATAAGGTCAATTTCGTGCCGAAAATGTTCAACCCTCCCGACACTCCGGAGCTCCGCCCCATCGAGAAGTACTGGGCGATTATGAAGCAGCACCTTCTTAAACGACCTAAGGTAGTGAAGACAGTCGAGGAACTGAAGAAAGTATGGGTTTACATGCAAAAAACGGTTGATTCACAGGTTGTGCAGAATCTTATGGCCGGGGTTAAGGCCAAGGTGCGGGCATTTGCGTATGGACTGTAAATAAAATACGAGTAAAATGGTAAAATGAAGTTTAATAGTTATTTCTCAATCCCTGAAAATTTGATGGCAATCGGATGAAAACTCGAATTTTGCGAATCAATTTTGTGTGTGGCAATTTTATCGTGGACACCCTTTACAGTGCGATGATCCGATTAAGATTGTGTCGCTAGTTTAAAAAGGATCCGACATCAGCCGTATGAGTTACATATCGTACAAAGTAGGATTGGCTTCCAAACTACGTGAAGTTGCTCTTACATCGGATACATGGCCGAAAGGAATTTTGTTCCGTGAATTTGCAGACGGTTAAAAAAACATTAGATGCCTCGTTTGAACACGCCAGCCATCAAGATCTCTCCTGTTCCGGGACCTTTCGAGTTCTCAACTCCCCTCTCCAGACTAGACCCAGTATGCTGATTCAGAATTGGATGCCGCGTTGTGATTTGGAGCGCTGTAAACCAGAACGCACTGCCTGTCGCATTATGGGAGACCTCGATCCAGTTGCGCTAGCTGTTTCCCGCCATCAAATTCGTTCTATTTCCTGCCATCAGCGTCGTTCTGGACCTGCGGTCGAGTTCGGTCGTTTTCAGGCAAGTATGCATACATTAGTTACAGTAATTTTCCTGATCAGCTTCCGTGTTCCGGTGCAACGTCTCAAGCATCTGCCGGCTGTTTCCAGTTGAGAAGCACTTCTGGTTCTGATACTGCTCATTCACAACATCGGCTTTACTGTTCGAACAATCCTAATTCATCTCCGGGACGCACAATGGACCGCTCTTTGGAAGCTCTTGGTTCTTCCAGCCCAGTCGTGTCGATTCCTGCCAGCGATCAGCATAGTCGTCCTGGACTTGTGGCTGGATATGAATCAGGAGTCTTCCACCTTGCCTCTACAGGCAAGTACTATTCACTGTCTGATGCCGAACCAATTTTCAGCAATTCGGATTATGTTAGTCATGATGCCTCTGTAACTCCCAATCCTGGGAACTCGGAACGCGCCGTAGAATGCCCCATGGAAGCCCCTAATCCCTCCGTCTCAGTCCTGTCATCAGCAGCCTTCGTTCATCATAGTCGTTCCGGTCCTGCTGTCGGATGTGGAGAGGGGGTCTTCCAACCCACTCATTATGGCGAGTATCCAATGAGACTTGATAATGGTCATTTATTGCTTGATGTATCTGTGATTTCCAGGGAGAGCAGTCGTTCGATTCCTTGCCGCAAGCAGGGCGTCGTCAGCTTCTACCAAAACGCCGGTGGAATGAATTCTGATGTTGAAGAGTACCGCCTAGCTGTATCGGATTGTTGCTACGATATTATTGTCCTGTGCGAAACGTGGCTCGATTATCGAACGCTTTCCAGTCAAGTCTTCGGTCCTAACTACGAGGTCTTTCGTTGCGATCGGAATCCTAACAACAGCCGCAAATCTACTGGTGAAGGTGTCCTTGTAGCTGTCCGTGGCGGGTTGGAGGCAAAGGCCATCGAGAACGATTCATGGAAATATGTGGAGCAGGTTTGAACTGCCAACAATCTGGGTGATCGCACACTATTCCTATGCGCTCTGTACATTCCACCTGATCGAGTCCGGGACAATGAACTCATCGATACTCACTGTCGGTCAGTTTTCACAGTTATCGAAAATGCCACTCCAGTTGATGAGATATTCAGGCGTTTCGTAGAATCCATCTCATAGCGGATTCCTGATCCTGATAGCTCTACATTTCACGCAGGAGATATTAGCCTTCTTGACAACTACAGCGCAGCGAAGCTTTCTCAAATTAACCATGTAGTTAAAGAAAATGATCGTAGTTTGGACCTCTGCTTCGTGAGCACACAGGACAGGGCTCCATCAATTTCCTCGGCTCCTTGTGCACTAACTAAGCTAGTTCCACATCACCCTCCTCTAATTGTCACTGTTGAGGACAAACTCGTGCGTGATTTCGATGACTATCCTGCTACGGTTTCTTATGACTTCCGTAAAGCTGACCACCGTAGCATCATAGATGTATTGTCAAGCATGGTATGGGAGAACATCCTTGATCCACATGACGTTGAGGCTGCAGCTCAAACCTTTTCACATGTCTTGGCATATGTCATTGACAGAAACGTCCCGAAAAGAACGCACCACAAAGTGTCTCACCCTCCCTGGCAGATGAGAGAGCTACGTAAGTTGAAGTCAATCAAGAGAGCAGCATTGAGAAGATTTACGAAGTATCGCACGCTTCCTCTGAAACTACATTATGTGAGGCTGAATCACATGTACCAGCGAGTCAGTCGTGAATGCTTTTCAAGTTTCCAACGAGGCATCCAGCGCAAACTTAAGCTACACCTGAAATCCTTTTGGAACTACGTGAACGAGCAACGCAGGGAATCCGGCCTCCCATCGTCTATGGAATTCAATCGGAGAAGTTGCTGTCACCGTTCAGGATATATGCCGCCTTTTTTCCTACAAGTTTGCCAGTGTATTGACTAATGAGATACTAACTGACGACCATATTAACCTGGCTGCCAGGAACGTTCCAGTAAACGATCAAACGCTGGGTGCAATTGATGTTAATGCTGAGATTATTTCTAAGGCCGCGACTCTGCTCAAGTCATCCTTCAATCCTGGACCTGATGGAGTTCCATCTGTATTTTTGATTATTGCTAGCTTGTTCATTCCGC